CTGCCTTCTGGTGCTTTGGATAATAGCTTGAACATAAAACACTGAAAATAAAGAGTCAAGACAAGAAAACCAGCGTGTCTTTAAGCAGATCACCCACTCTGATTGTACCTATTTCCACATATCCTTATTTTTCACTATCTGTACAGAAAATCGAGAGGCTCTTTTTATGCCCTTCCGTAAAAGGTAAAGTGTATTATCTGCCAAGGAAGCAAACAACCCCAGTTCCTGATCAGCAATTCCTTCCTTCTTGTCCCATACAGTGTGTGGCATGCACACAGAAGAATTGCACATCACACTAAATTTTGCTTGTTTGTTAGATAAGCCACAATAAGCAGGTTCATATACCTGATAAGCAATAAATCATGTTGTACAAAATCTAGTCCAAAAGAAATCTAACAAGCCACATTACTGCCTATGGTGGATAAGTTAACTCAGCAGTCATGAACTGGCCCTGGAAGAAGCAGGGAGGAGTCAAAGAAGCAGAACAATTACAGCAGTGCTTCTTGACTTCAATAAGCTGCAGATGGGTGGACTTCTAAGTGTCTCCAGCCTATATGTCCACTGCTGAGCATTCTGAAGTTGATTTTATTTATTTGGAACTATCAAAGATAGGCAACACTGACTTGTTTTCTTGCTATTTGCCAAGACCCAATTCTTCTTCAAGGTTTTTTTTTTTTTAGCTTTATCTCTACTTCCAGGATTTTAAGATTCACACAGACTGTGAGTTCACAGTTCAATTTACTCTTTTAATATTATTATTAGTTGGTCACAGATATTTAGACTGGATTTGGCATTTTTATCCACCTACCAAGTCATTTCTTATCAATAATTGTTAAATCTGGAATGTTCTGTGGCAGACACTTGTCTGATTGAATTCTAAAGCCCAGAATACTTTGGCTTAGTTTTCTATTATATAGTTTATTTTGTGGTCCCACCAGTTTTTGCTTGGAGACAAGTGGTATGTCTTGCAGATATTCCAATGCACCACTGTTCTACTTTGTCAAACCTCTATGCATCCCTCTATGCCAGGGGTGTCAAACTGCCAGCCTGCGGGCTGGACACGTCACACAGAAGCTGTACCCACTCCTTTGCCAGCAATGGCAAAACCGCAAGTTTGACATGTCTGCTCTATGCTGTTTGCCATGACAAGCCAGGATCCCTGGTTGATCTCTCAAACAAATACAAAATTGGACAAAATACCATTCTTGATTGGCTTTTGTAGTAGTAATACTGATTCTAGTTCTTAAATCAGGGTAAACTAAAGGAAATCAAACAGGTTGTTTAGATGTGAAAGTACATAAGCATGATTTTGGAAAATGGGAACAATTGGAAGAATACATATTCATGGTAAGCAACAGCTGTTGGATATTCTGGCTTATTATGACTACAAAGACTCTTTTCAATATCATTTAAATGAGTGAAGTAATATCTTGCCCCATCTTCTTATGCAGAAAATACAACCTTAAAAACAAAGCAATTGCACAGAATTTCTATTTTAAACATCACATTTTTTTAAATGCCATCTACAGGTTCAATTTAGGTAAAAGCTCATAAATCTCTGCTCATTTCTGTTTGTGTTGTGCCCTGCAGATTTGTATTGTCTGCTTATTTATGCCAAGGGCAACCTGCTCACTTTTCACCAATAGCAATGAAAAAAGGTAATAAAGCAATAAGCTTGAGCTTCTAATTTTATATCTGTAGTTCCACATTTGGCTATTTTTATTAGGAATCAAAAGTTCTACCTAATCAAGTTTAAAAAGAAAAAAGAAAAAGAGAAGAGTGTTTAATTATATATACCAATCTATTGCTTTCTTAGCTCAGCCTATATTTACGTACTTAAAAAAACCCCATCATATCAATATGTCCTTCCTGATAAAGCAACACAAATAAACCTTGGAAAACTTATACAGATATTGCATTTTATATTTGGTCTTAAAATGACCACAAAACTCCATCCACTGGCAATGTTAAAACTTAACTCTACTGTTTAGACTGTGCATTCATGGACAAAGGTGAACTCTTTTAAAAACTGCACAAGCAGATGGGAAGAAAAGGTCCAAGCTTGCTGGAGACTAATATAAAGTAGAATAACACATTGAGCTACAATAGCATTTGTCTTCAGCACCATTGTTAGATCAGCTACAGTAGCTGCTGAAGCTATCATTTTGATTACAAACACAATAGCTAGATCTACATTATCATGGTAAACCAAAAACATACAATTGGTTTAGCACAATATAAGAATCCAGCCACTGATAGGGAATAGGTTTCTATAAAGAAGAGCAGAAGGTGTAAAAAAAAAATCACTCAATATGAACTCAAAAGCAGGGAAACTGTGTTCCTCTAATCAATATTTCTCAGCCTTGGGAACTTTAAGATGTACAGACATCAACTCTCAGAATTCTGGCTGGCTAGCTGGAGAATTCTGGGAGTTGAAGTCCATAGAGCTTAAAGTTGTTGAGGTTGAGAAACACTGCTCTAGACATTGGGAACTATCATTCCTGTGACTCCTCACAGTCAACCTTGCTGTGACTGTTGGGAGTTATAGTTCAGTAAGGTCCAGAAAGCCCCAGTTCTTTACCACTGAGAATAACTTGGAACATTTATCCCTAAGTCAACCAAACTGGTTTTGCACTATTTCCTGAAGATATTGTGGTTGTTGCTAATTCAGCATCTGAGATTTGGATGTCAGTATTCACTAGAGGATAAACTGGTTGTGGTTCTGATAAGAACTATCAGACAGTGGAGAAAGAAAAGGAGAAAAAAAATCCTTTCCATTTGATCTAATCTTTGGCAAGGACTAGAACTTCTCTCTTCCAAGAATCCCAAACTTCAATGTTTTCAGTTTGAAGATTTTTAAATTAAAAATGCTTCATATCTCCCTCACTTTCTGTCTGATCAAAAACCCAAAATGGAGATATGAACATTTTTGGTGGCAAATTACTACCAATACCTTATTATGGCATCATTATAGTTTGGGTTCATAATCTTGTATTAATATCTGGAGCTATATTAAATTTTTCAAGAGCAGTCAGTGGTATCTCTTTATATGCAAGTTAAACACCATGCAGCCACTGGAACAATCTTTTCTGAATGGTAAAAAAATCCACATCTGGATAAGAAATCAGAAAGTAAAGCCTTTAGGGTTTTATGGGAAAGAATGAAATCAAACTGTCAGAGGAAACAGTAAATGCAGACATATATACATACTCAGAGAGAGAGAGAAATTCAGAATTAAACAAAAATAAACCCCAACAATAAAAAAAATCCTATGTGTGAATATATTTTCCTTTCCTCATCTGCTATGAACCTTACAGCTATAATTAAAGGATAACCCATTCTGGAAATCATAATCTCATGCAGGTCTGTATCCTATCTTACCCTGTAGAAAACTCTAATTCATTAGGCATTATTGGTGGTTGGGGGGTGTTTAAAATAAAACAATTACCTCCTATGAGAGAGAAAAATAAAATAGGAAATACCTGTTAGAAGTTGATACTTAATGATCTACAATGTTCAGAATGCTTATTTGGTAAAATCTGAAAGTCTAGGCAGACAGGCATGCACACACACACAAAAAAAAAAACATATGTTCATGTACATATACAATGCACTAATGTCCATGGAGATTCTCAGTCATCCCGGTCATGGTTGTCCCAAAAGTGCTTTTCAAAAGGCAACTGGACTTTGTTTTTTTCTTTAAGAGGATTTATTTCTCATCCAAGAAGCATCTTCAGTTCGGAACAGAAGATGTTTCTTAGATGAGAAGTGAAATGTCTTAAAAAAACAAAGAAGTCCCGTTGTCTTTTGTCTGCACTCAGTTGGATCAAGTCACTTAAAGCGGCACTAATTCTAGAACTACACCTGTGTTTTCTACAGGCTGAACAATCACCCAACTCATATCTCTTCTAAGCATTTGGGGGAGGTTTCTGGATTTGAAAAATAATAGGTAGATCTTCAATTTAGCTGAACTGGCAAGAAGTCAAGGTTATTGTTATTTTCTTCTCGGTGCTCTCTATAGTTCCAACTATATGGCTGCAACATTTAAATAAATAAGATGAAAATTAAAGTAAGTTCCATTTCAACATTAAACACCCCAATCTAGAGCATCAGACCGAAGCACAGAAAAGAAGTCTTTATCTATGGAAAGAGGGCCAGGGCTAGAAACTGGACTACACGTAATCCTCGACTTACAATAGTTTGTAGAGTGACCATTCAAACTTACAACAGCACTGAAAAAAGTGACTTATGACCGTTTTTCACACTTAAGAGCATTGCAGTATCTTTATGGCCACAGGATCAACATTTGGACATTTGGCAACTGACTCATATTTATGACAGTGTCCCAGGGTCATGTAACCATCTTGCAAGCAAAGTCAATGGGGAAGCCAGATTCACTAAAGTGTGTTACTGACGTAACAACTGCAGTGATTGACTTAACTTTAGCAACAAAAATCATAAAATGGGGCAAAACTCTTTTAATAAGAAATTTGGGGCTCAGTTGTGGTCGTAAGTTGAGGACTAAATGTATAACATTATACACAAACAAGCAACAGAACATTTGCACAAGATTGTACATACATTATTTTGGACAGTCAGCCATAGGTGAAACTAGGATGAGCACATGTGATTTATCCTTTTAGCATCAAACTCTTATCCAACCTACTGAGATACTTGAAACAACACAACCCAACTCAAATCGTCTGGAAAAAGTCAGATAATCCAGCCCCAATCAATTCTTCTATTACTGCACAGGTAAAAATTCAGAAAATGAGAAACTGGTCTACTATTCTTGAAACCCGAAGCTACTTACCTGGCATATGAGTTGCTAGAGCCCACAACTATAACAGTGATGAGAGACAGAGAAAGGAAAGTAAAAAACTAAGCCTAACTGGAGCTAATAAGGGACACCATTGCATTTTCCTCCAAGAGTTGTTTTTAGACTCAAAGCTTCCTCTCCATCAGACACTATGGAATATGAGAACAACACAAATACTCACCCTCCTTCAAAGATCTTGATCCTGGTTGGTTCTCCTCGCTTGGTTACATGAATGTCATCTTCAGTTTTTCCTCTTTTATCTCTTTCCTTACTGGTTTGCATTGCATCTTTCTGGCCTTCACTGGGAAGGAGTGAGGGCAGATGGACCTATCTCCCCAAAAAACCAAAGCAATTTATTATTCTTTTTTAAAAAAAGAAAAAAAGAGGAGGAAGAGGAGAAGGATGGTCACTGATCACAAACACCTTGCTTTAATCTCTTCCTGTGAAGTAAAAAGTGGGCAGCCATTTCTGGCATGAGTTGCACTAAAATCAAATTTGGTGCCCTTTCTATGTAAGGGAGCTTTAAGTATCTTTCAGTGAAACTAAGTGCAATGAGTAGATAATAGGTTGTACCTTAACTGTACTTTGAGCTGTACTCCAAGGGCTCTAATCATTGGTTATCTTAAACGTGGGCTGCTGTCAGTTGTTTCAATTTCTACAGCAGGCGTGGGTAACCATGGCCCTTTTATGACTTTTGGACTTCAATTCCCAAAAATGGCTGGCTCAGGAATTCAGGGAATTGAAGTTCGCAAGTCATAAAAGGGCCATGGTTCCCCACCCCTGTTCTAAAGGGACACAGGATGTCCATCTCTGCTAAAGATGGGTGATCCATTCTGAAGCATGGAGATACCAATACTAAAATAAAATAAATAATTAAGAGAAAAAGTCTAGTATTACTAAATGGGACAGGACAATTATTTATGTTTTGCCAAGAAAGGTCAGCCACGTATAAAAGTAATTAATCTATGGATTCGGGACTAAATCCTCAGCAGTAGCATACTCCAACTCATAAGAATGGACGGAACCCAGTTATATGGTTTTTATTGGATATAATTTCTTTGTGGGAATAAAGGAGCAAGCTTCTCTCTCTTTCCTTCCATGGCCCCTTAAAATCTACTCCAGAGGATGCCTCGGTCACCAGAATGGGTTTTGGAGTTATGCTGGGAATGAGAAGCGGGTTGGGTGAGGAGGGCACAGGGGAGCACAAAGTCCTATTGTGCTACCAAAAGTCTGGTATGATGCTCTATTCCAGGGGTCTTCAAATTTGACCCTTTTATGACTTGTGGACTTCAACTCCCAGAATTCCTCAGCCAGGCATCCAGGCTGAGGAATTCTGGGAGTTGAAGTCCACAAGTCATAAAAGGGCCAAGTTTGAAGACCCCTGCTCTATTCCATCCATTATCATCTAACCAGCCAGTGAGAAGTTAAAGAAGAACAAACGTGTAATGGGTGCCAAGGAATCTCTGCAGTCAGTTAGATAATTGTTTTAACAGGACAGAGGAAAGAGGTTACATGACTAGAACCATTTTCAAAAACATGAATCTGGTTTTCATCTAATTTTTATTTTTATTTTAGTCTACTTTCAAGTTAAACAGTCTGACTCAACAATCACCCCAACATTATGCCAAAAAAACACCCTTTTTGACCCTGCAGGTGTTTCTGAGTATTCAGCCTTCTTTTCATCTCGTGGCTGACTGCTTCATGTTGTCTTCAGCCCAAACACCAAAGCTTTTCTCCAGGATAAACATGAAACGCTATGATTTTTATATAATTCTGTAAGATGTTACTTTACTCCTATGCTATGTCAGCCTCTGCTAAGCAACACACAGTCTTGGATCCAGACTCCCTCATTATGCCTCAAAGCATTTTAAGACCGTAAAATCCCATCAAGCTCCTGTGATGAGACATTCAATGAAAATATTAAAACATTAAAATGATCTGCTCTTCTCTAAGGATTACTAAGAGTTGTATGCATAAAATAACACAAAGCACTATACTTTTTATTTCTACTTCTCTTGACAGAAACCACTATAACAGTCATTTTAATTGAGCACTGCCTTCCAAGGCTCATCACCAAAGATTGCCACATTCCAGACAAATGTAGTGAATCTCCCTGGCCCAAACAACCAAACTATAATAATTTCCAAGTTTGATCAGACATTACTAATTTCAGGGCTCAACTCTCCCTAAAACCAGTCTTTTTTGTTCATTGTTCTTTGCATGATTTCACTTTTTAGCGGAGCCCTCAACCACTCCAAGGTACTTTCAATCAATGATCTGTCTGGCATGGAATCGATTTCATTGCTACCATAAAACATGTAACTGATTTTACATACTGCCCAAGAACAGCAAAGGTTTCTGAAAAGTGTCCATACTCATCTTGCATAAGTTGCCATTTACCTGGGGTGCCAGATTTAGGAAGCCTTCTATGACTTCTATTAACAACTATTTGCAAGCCAACTCACCACAGCCAATTCGCTGTGGCCAACTCACCATCGCCAACTCACAGTGGAGCAACTCACAATTCAATTTAATTATTTTAAATAAATAAAAAATATTTTAATCTTTGTCATTCGTATTTCATTTGGTCCCTCCTTTTGCATCCTATAATGATTCTATTCCACCCTTTCTCTGATATTAGTGTAACTTTTGTCCTGCAGCAAATTGGCCATGGCTAGCTGTCCATTGGCAAGTTGACTGCAGCCAGGTGATGCAGCAAGTTGGCCGTGGCGAGTTGGCCACAACAAATTGGCCCTAGTGAATTGCCATAAATGCATTGAACTGACTTCAGGAGCAGCTGCATTCAGTTTTCTCTGAACTGGGAGATACGTTAGCTTGCCTATTTCTATATGTTTTGTTGTGCAGAATAATAAAGCTCCCTAGCTGAAATCTGAAAAGAGTAAGTTGTTAACTGAAATCTAGCAACTTACAAAGAGGAAGCTTCCACACACTAGTCACTCACAGTGTTGGGAATAGACAGTGTACAAATGACTCAGCACTGGGGCGCTCACTAGGAAGCAAGGCATTTAATACAATTTCCATGGCAAGGATTGATTCTACAATTTGATCTGGGCAGCAAAGCCAACAAAGAAGTGTATCCACAGCCCATTCCTTGGGCTGACCACACATTATAAGACTATAAAATGGATCAGGCTGACCTTCTCCAAAGCAGAACCTTTCAAAAGTACTGGCTTTACTCCTGTGATATTTCCTAAACATTGGTAATTCTGAAAGTTGCAGCTCCAACATATTCAAAGACACCAGACTGGGGAATGACAGAAGAAAGCAATTCTGTTGGAGAACCCAATACACCCAGGTGTGTTGTCTTTAGCTAGTTTGACAGCAACTTATTTTAAGTAACAGAGTTGGGGTTCTAAAGCAACTTTCTCCAACCTGGCATCTTCCAAATATGTTGGGCTGAGAACCTCCAAAACATCCAACCAGCACTGCTTTGGGGAGCCAGTTCTAGGTAGTCGTGACCCAACTCATCTGAATAATATGTTGAGCCAGTTCTTTGAAGCCTGGCAGCAATGCTGTCCAATTCTTAAACAAACAGATGAGGGCCAAAGGAAAAAATGATTTTCCTTACCTCTGACATTTTGGGGTTCCTGGAACTTGAGGGTACAAGCCTTCCTGTCTCTGGATGTGGAGCAGTAGCCATGGTGTAGGTTTCTTTGCTCACCTTTTGCTTGGAGCGTAGGAGTGACAGGGCAGCTTTAGTAGATACACCGGGGAGGTTGGGATTATACAGGCTAATGCACCAGCTGGCATACACAGAGGAACTGTGGTCAACTTGCTGAATGTGATTTGGTTTTGTGTAATTTAAATAGCACCAACTGACATTAGTAGTTGTGTGGAGACTGGGGAACTGAAGTACCTTCTTAACATCTGTACTGTCCTGAGACTTCTTGGAGCTTTGAGCAGCCACTGAAGAACATGCTGAGCTCAGAGGATTTGCCACCAAGGCTTCTGCCGATTCTTTCAAATCCTCCTTCTTCACTTTCTCAGGAGCGTGGTTGCTTTCAGGCTTCTTTCTTGCTGGCTGCTTACATTCTTTTTGAACTTCAAAGCTAGAGGCCTCAGACTGTGGCAAGACCAGGTTTAAGGCAGCCTGGCCTTTGGGGGATTCTGACTGTTCAGACAATATATCCAGGAGTGTTTCTGCCTTGGCTGCTGTTTGATCACATTTTTTCCCTTCCTCCATTGTATTGGATGTCATCACTATTTCCAGCTTCTCTTCTGTCTGGAAGAACTCTTCTTCCTTCACTCGTTTCTGCTGCTGCGTTTCCATGGTGAGCTCCAAGCTCCCAGCTGGAGAAAGCATCCGCTTGCTTCCTCCAGCATTTGATGGGCTCTCTTCGAGATCCAAGACGCTTTCAGACATGGGGCCCAGGGGAAAATAGCCTTTTCTTTCTGACAGAGACAATGGCAGCCGCAGGTACGGACTGTGGATCAGGGTCTTCTGCTGCTCTGTGATCATTTGAGCCAAATCAAGACCAACACTGTGAACATTAGCAGTGCAGACCAGAGTACCCTTGGTCTGATAGTCCTCAAATTTTGGCAGTAGGATTGAAGAGGTGCTGCAGTGGGACTGAGTGACTAGGATCTGGGAAAGAGTGGTGTACATTGCACTTCCGTAGGATGGCATGTTAGCCTGAATGCGAACTGGGACAACTAGAGATACCACAGGCTCTGAACAGGCAGGTACCACCAACTGAGAAATGGAGATGGATGCAGAGGGGCTACTGGGCCGAGCTAAAATATGCAGTCGGCTCTCAGAGCCATAATCTATAGATGGGGAGAAGGTACGGCTTCCAATTTCAGGAGAGAGGCTGGATTTCAGATGGGGCAAGTGGGCACCAATGTCACTTGGCAGCTGGAGAGCAAGCTGTGACTGAAGAGGCAGAAACAATGCAGAAGGGAGTGGTGAGGATCTTGAGTAATGGAAGGGCAAGACTGATGGGCTCTGCCTGATTATGATATCAGCCGGGTATGACAGCAGCGGAGGGGCAATGTGTAACTGGCCCGGATGCAGCAAAGCTTCTTGAAAAGGAAGTGCTGTGCTTTGAAATAAGGAATGAGGGACCTGAGAGATGGAATACTGACTGGAGAAGATGTCTGCTACGGTCTGAGAGGAGAAAAGCTCAACTGAATGTCCCAATGGTGGCAAAAGGTGCTGGAATGGTAAAAGAGAAATTTGTGGGCCCATGTACTGCTTTTCATGGAGGGTTAAATGAGGGACAGGTGGATGGACCACTTGCAGAGCTTCAGCATAGGAATATGTGCATAAGGACTCAGGACAGTCTTTTGGCTGATCCTTGTCAGCTGGGTACCCTCTGTGAGAAGAGAAAGAGGAGGAGGAAGAGGAGGAAGGCAGCTGTTGATATGGCAAGCTTGCAGCAGGAGACTGAGTCGAAGGTTGCACAGATTCCTCGGTCTCAGCTGTTCCTTTGGAGGCAGAGTCTGGCTCATGCTCTGGGTGCCTGGTGAGAGATGCCTGCCGGACCAAAAAGCACTTTCTCCTCTCCTGTGGAGCTGCTGTTGTTGTTGTTGGAATTTGGGATATAGAAGGAGATGAAGACAAACTCCCATAGTCAAAGGACTTGCTGCGGATCTCCGACATTGGAGAGGAATGTGAGACATTGGGTGTCTGTTCAGAAGCAGACCTCCTCATTTCTCGGGAATGATGGTGATGGTGGTGGAGATGGGAACTTGGTACTGTTAACATGTGGGAGCCAAGGCCAAGAGGTTTACCATGAGATTCAGAGGACTGAGAAACTGTTTCCTCTCTCTCAAAAGAAGCTGAGTGACTAGAAGTATGGGAGATGCTGCTTTCCTGACTTGGGCTTCTGATTGACTCAAAACTGGATTCTCCAGAAGACTGGGCCATTTCTGCTAGCCGTAGCCTCTTCTTTTTGGGTGGTAGCTTTTCTGCAGGAAGTTGGGAGAGAGACTGGCTTCTCTGTGGCCACTGAAATTTCTCCAATTTTTCTGGCTCTTTCGGTGGAGGTTCCGGTTCCATTTCTGGCCTATCAGGTTCTTCAGTGACCAGAATCTCAGGGACTTGAATATTAGGTTGACGCACAAGCTTTGGCTGAAGGGAGTGAGTTAGTCGGCCATGTTGGACTTCTGGTTGGGAGGCATAAGATAAGAGCAGCTTTTCCTCTCCTTCTAAGCTACTCTGCTGTTCTATGGAATCTGACTTCTCAAAAGAACTTGTATGTTGGATGACAGAGATTTCCTTTGAGGTTGTTCTCCTCTCTTTGCCCTCTGGAGTAAATGGGGGATTTGCAGTTCTAGGATGAAAACTTATACTAACCTCAGAAAGAGGCATAGGTTGAGCAGGTTCCATTGCTGGCTTCACAGACTTGGAAATGAGTTTCAAGGCCACATCACTGGATTTCAACCCCATAAACTGAGTGGCTGGTCCACTTCCAGAAAAGGATGCTTCAGTTAACTCAAAAGCTGGTGGATCTTCATCATCACCAAGACTCTTTTCTTTTCGCCTCTTCCTCAGTGGAGTCAGTTCTAAGCTAGTTCCCAACTTATAATGCATCACTTGTGGCCCTGGATCAGAGTCCATCAAACCTTTCTCCATTTCAGATAAAGTATATGAACTGGAAGAGTGAGGTTTGGAGATCTGAAGTTCTGAACAATAGTACTTCTTGTGGGCTTCATAATTATCTCGTTTTTTGTATCGAGCACCACAGATATTGCACTCATACATAAATCCTTTTATTTTGGTGCCCTTCCTTGACTTCTTGGTCAACTCACTCTCCTTGGTCTCTTGCTCTTCTGGAGGTCTGGAGAAGCTTTCCTTGCCTGCTGCACCAACCTCTTCTGAGCTGTACTCCATTCCCAATGGTAGCTCAATAGCTGGCTGCCGTTTTAGCATTCGGGGATGGGAAGACATCTGATTGTGGCTTAAGATCTCCGATTCAGCAATGTGATCATCGAAAGAATAACTACCTCTAAAGGAGTGAGAAGAACTCATAGTGCATACAGCTGAAGGCATAGAGTGGCTTCTTAGAAGAGGCACTGTCTCCGTGGCACTGTGGGATTGCTGGAACGATAACAAGGATGGTTCAGGCTTCATTTTTTCAATATGAGATGTCAACGACTTTGATGGATCTGGTTGGCTACCGGAACCAGGTTTGATGTCTAGCTGAAATGATTCTCTGAAAGAGCCAGGCTTTGGAGATTCGATACTGCTCCGTCTAGACAAAGAACTCCTTCTCGGTTTAACACTATCAATTTCACTCGTATCAACAACTGCCTCATTGATGGTGATCAGCTTGGTGATATGTTCAATAACCTGTGTCCGAGGCACAGACAAAGGAACAGTACTCACCTTTTCTTCAGACGATATTGGGGGAAATTCTGGACTCGTGGTTGTGGCTAACATAGCAGTCCGCTGGCCTATCCTCCCACATTTGCCAAAAATGATTTCTGCGTATGATTTTGCATTTGTATTCGGCGGACTGATTTGCTGCTCTGCACTCTCTGATCTTGAGAAGTAGCCTGATTCGGTGCTTCCTTTACTGCCAGGACTAAGGAAAGCCTGTTCCTCGATAACTTTCTTCCTCTCACTTAGACGGAGTGCAAGCTTTTGTTTGATAGTGTGTGTTTCTTCTGATTTATGACTTTGGGCAAGGTCTGAGGACGGCTCTACAAAAGCACTGCTGTCATCAAGGGATTGAGACATGCTAGAATGGGGGAAGGAGGTGCTTTCTTGGCTTGAACCTTGACTTCCTGCCCCATACAACATAGTTTGCTTTCGCCTGGTGGATAGTTCCAACAAATGGCCTGGGGTGCTTCTGGTCTCCTCTTCAGAATCTGTGCTTTCTCCTTCTGTAGGCTCTTCAAATTCCTCTCCACCTATCTTCTCCACCTCCAAGCTGGAAGGATACAACTCTGTAGCAGTGCCTGAAGATAACCCAGCTTTGATGCGATGAGCGTGAGATTTTCGGTGCTTGTACAAATTGCTTTTGGTTTTGAAGGAAAAGCCACAGGGAACACATGGATAGGGTCTCTCACCTGTGTGGGATCGGATGTGTTTCTGGAGAACACTTGGTTTGGCACAAGGCCGGCTACAGTACTGGCAAATGTATTTGCCTGGCTTCTGTGGCTTCTTTTCCTTCTTGTGTCCTTCTTCAGATGGTTTCAAAGAAATCTGCAAAGTACGAGGGATGTAGACCTTTTGAACAGGGGGCTTGTCTTCTTCAGTAGAAACAGAGGAGCAGGATGGTAAGATCTGACCGTGACTGGAAGGGAGCCCAGAAGAAGGAAATGAGCCAGAGGGAATTGATCTTGCTGGATCAACAAGCTGCCAGGTAGGCCCTTCTTGCTTTCGGGGAGTCCTGTATGCTGGTGACAATGAATGCTGTTGAAGTTGGGCCATGTGCGATGGATGCTCAAAGGAGGAATGCTTGGGTTGAGCTTGTCCTGTCTTCTCCTGAGCCTCCTCCATTGAAAAACGTTGCTGGGATACAACATCTTGGAGGGGAGAGCCTGGCAGCAGAGCAGAGCTGCTTGGATATGGAGTCATGGAGGAGATACTGCTTTGAAAAGCTTCTCCTTTCACGAGCCTCTTTCTTGGAGCCTCATCCCCCTTTTTTGTACTCCTCTTGCTTTGTTCAGGATCCATGGCCTTTGAAAGGGGGAGCAGAGGGGAGCCTAGAAATGCTATTTCAGGAAACTGTCACCAGGCTTCATTTACAGCAAAGAGAGGTCTCTCCTGTGGCGTTCCTGCTTTGCTTGCATTGGAGATGAAGCCAGAGCTTCATCTAATGAGCCACTGTAGATTCAAGATTTCGAAGTGTCCCAAGTTGCTATTTGATTCAGGGGAAAAAAATCCTGAAGTAATAGAGGGACAGTGTGTGTGTGGGGGGGGGGATGCGGGTCAACAGAGTTCACACTGGTAAAGCATGACAAACTACTTCAAAGCAGGAAAACTGTCCAAAAGTTGCAGTTCAAATATTTTTCTTGTGAATTGTGTTGAAGCTTTAAACCGAGCCATTGCAGTGCCGTTGACCATGGCAAGTCTTCAAAGACAAGAAGCAGCCCAGGAAGTGCCTTCTGTTCTTTTTTTATGCAAATCTTTGTAAACTTGAGACTCCTATGTTCATCTTGCAACCATCCCTCTCTGTGTCCATCCTTGGCTTGGGGAGAAAAAAAAAACACATACAGCAGACCACAGCTTTTTCTGTGTGAGCATGTGCATGCAATTCTCTCTTTTGTCTTTCTGCTCTTTCACTTTGATGTTCAGAGACCTTGGAAGATGTTACCACTCACCTTTCTGAAATGACAACAAAGAGAGAAACACATTCAATTACTATCATTCCCAGTTCTCCTACTTTATGCTGTCAAAAAGGCAGAGTTCTTAGTCTTCTTCGGGCATTCAGCTGGACATGTGACACTTGTGAAATAACTGCACAGAGAATCCCCAATCCTTTCTCTTCCTCACTTTTACTGAATTCTGTTGGAAATCTCCTCTCCTGAAGGAAGTATACTCACATTTGCTTGGACACAAGGACATCTCTCTGCACAACCCAGGACCTCAAGAAACCATAGTCCCAGTCAGTGCAGAAGGCCATTCTCACATCCATGCAAACTCAACCACAGTGATGTGGAGGTCAATAGAAATTAAAGAGTGGGACTTCCGGTTCCGGTTCGTGGCGACTCTAGTCGCATGGGGAGACTCGTCTCCTCGGAGGCTAGCCTTCCCTCTGCCAGTCGACTCTTATACGGGTCGAAAGTCACCCTGGAGGCTGTGACTTCCGTCGAAGAGGCTTCGGCTCGGCTGTGGAGGAGCGGCAGCTCCTCCAGCTTCTGGGTGATCTCTGAGGGCCGACGGAGAAGAAGAAGATTGGCCAGTAAAATGGCCGATCATCCTGCTGCTTTAAACCACAGTCAAGAACATCTAAGCTGTAAGAGCCCTGTGGTAAATCCAGGTGAGATTTTTCTTTGTTACTCTCTCTACTTGACTTTGTTTTTTTTTTTTGCCTGTAAGAGCCTTGTTGGAATTATTTCCCTGGCTAGAGAAAGCAGTTTTTACATTTTTGGGAAAGAAGGCGTTTTACAAGATTAAAATTTACTTTCATATTTTTTGGGATACAGAAAACTCTCTCCTTTTTGGTTCTGCTAAGATCTGTACTATCACCTGGTGTTGGAAGATTATTTCTTCTTTCACACTATACTTTTAAAGATAGAAACAAAGCAATGCTGTCTGGAAAAGACTCTTTCATAACTTACTGAGGACATCTAGTGATGAAAATTTAATATTGCATCTTCTGGTTACTCTTTTGAAGTTAAACCACACCTGACCTTCAAATCATTTTTGGAAAAAGATAAACTGAGCTGTGGGAACTGTGGGAGTGGATATAGACTAACTCTTACCAAATACAGCCTCCACAAACAAAACAAACAAATAAACAAATAAAAACTATTACTAACTACTATCAAAATAGAGAATTTGCATTCACAATTAAACTATAAGCTTATACTGGAAAAGATACATGAGGCCACTACAGAAATTTGTGCCATATTGAAAGAATCTACTTCAGAACTAAGATCCAGAAATTTCACTTCAAACATTCAAATGGATGACCAGACTACACCTGACTATTTTACAAACCAAATTATATTAGAAGAGGAATTAACTGAGATAAAAGAGGAGCTTATTTTATCCTACAAACCTTTCATCTGTAACTTTGAGGAACAGAAGAAGCAAAGATTGAGATTTGAAATTACAAAGCAATGATATTTTAAGGAGGAGAAAAACAAATGCCTGATGCAGAGGATGGGACTTTTATTTCTTCAAAGGCCATTCCAAGCAACAAAAATAGACTCACTGATTGAAAGGGAAGCGTGTTTATGGAAACCTGCCTGGTATAGGAAAAAACCTAGAAGTAGACTTAAAAGAGAAATCTAAAACTGTGTAATGGATTAAAATTCAATCCTTGCTTCACTTACAGCCTTCAGTGATTCTTTCTTTTAGCTCTTACTTACATCCACCTAGCTTTCAATGGCATTGATGGCAGGTGCTAGCTATTGATAGCTAGGTGGATGTAAGTAAGAGCTAAAAGAAAGAATCACTGAAGGCTGTAAGTGAAGCAAGGATTAGTCGGCCTGGACCTGTTACAAGGTCCATGCGTAGAGTTTAGGTGTGGCTATGCTTATAAGCAGGTTTCCTCACTAACTGGCTTGTATCCTGACGATGATGGCAGATGTTAGCCATCGAAAGCTTGATTTTATTTATTAAAACCTTGGTGTTTTACTTCCTGGTGATCGCTTTCTTTTTTACTGAAATGTATGTACCCAGGAATCGCTATTCTTCAATTTTTAATGTAATTTTTAATATATATATATATATATATATATATATATATATATATATACACATATACATATACACAGACACACACACACACACACACAGAGAGAGAGAGAGAAGCGTAATTTTTAGAATAGATATTTTAAACAAATTAAGAATGTATTGGATTGTACTTATGTAGCGTTTGGGAAATATAAGAAAATTATTATGTACTGGAGTTGAAAAAATGATGACTGTTTAGATTGGGATGCTTTTAATAATTTATGGAATGTTTTAAATTACTAGGATGGATTTCTTGTATGACCACAAAGACATGATAAGGCATGATAAGTAATTGGAGAAAATTTGAATTTCGTTTAATGAATTTGAATGAATTAAGGTTTAATATTATCTTGTTATTTTAAAGAGATGGATTGACTTTGGGATTACATATATATAGGGCTGATCAATATTTTATTGCTATTAGGATATCTATTGTGTAGTGAAAGAAGAAATAAATGAGATTGGTGATAAAATGAGGGATGTGAGAGATTAAGAATTAGAATTGATAATTTCTTGTTTTAAATTTAAACTATTGTAATTGTAACTGATAAAGTTATAATACAGGTTTAATAGTGATATAAATTTAAAATAGAAATGGAATATTTAAATGTATCATGTTAATTGAGGGGAATAGAGAGGGGATAGTGAAATTTATTGAGTTGTGTTGTTTATGTATATTTTTACTTTTGAATGTTTGACCACCCAACCACCACAGTGGGTCCTGAGTACTTTTTCTTAAGAATTTAAAAAAACCAATAAAATGTGTTTTAAAAAAAAATTAAAGAGTGGAATTGTACATAAGACCTTGTTCTCTACTCTTTCTGTGGGAGATGGGTTGGCAGCTAGTTCCCAGGGCAGTATGCCAAAAATATCAGTGATGAAGTGCTAGCTATCTTGCACAAAGTTGCAAAGAAAAGCTCTGTAAATTGGTGAAAAGGACAGAAGCTCTGGGGTTAAAATGCATATGTTATTTGAAGAAATTACACATCCATTTTGTTAGATGTGTCTTTATTGTTAAAGATAGTCCTCTAACAACCAGTCATTTTTGACCACCATCCATGATGTTTTTTGCCAGTTTCTGACAAAAAACACCCATTCAGATGAACAGGTTTGCTTAATGACTGGTTTAATGACATTCATATAATGGCAGTTGTGAAGAAAGACAGAAATGTACTTCTGACAATGTGGATGTCCTGATTTGTGACCGCAATGACTTATGACTGTAATTACAGTCATAAGTCAAGGACTACCTGTAATTAGCCAGTCAATATCAAGTATCTAAAAAAATTCAGTCAACATTTCAGCCAAATATAAGCCAAGAGAGTCTGACATTTAACTGAAGTTTCATTCCTACAAAAGTAACTTTTGAGGCATAGGACAGTGCGGGAATCCAATTCATGTAATTTCTTACTTTGGGGACAAAGATGAATAGGTGCACTTTCGAACTTGAAGGCATGATCCAAATTAGACAAATCAAAACAGACTCTAAATCAGATTTTACAACAATTTTTCCAAGGCACCTTTCTGGCTTTGCAAACTGCCAGGGGAGGGAGAGGGGATGTTTCTGCATGAGCGGCAGATGAGCACACATGTGCAGATCCATTTGCGTGAGCGGCAGGCACGTATGCCGACCACTCATGCAAATGTAGCGTTGTGCACGCATGTTTGTGCACTGCTCGTATAAGTAGAGCTGTGCACATGTGCGCATGCTCACCTGCTGCTTCATGGCATGGTTCCAAACAGGCCATGGCCTGATAGTGAGCTGCGGCCCAGGGGTTGGGGACCCCAGTTCTAAGGTATTCAAATACCAGTACGAATGCTTGGGGTGACTGAAACCAGTAGCAAGATGGGAAGGGAGGTTTTTTTTTTTCTGTAAGGGTAGCAAGCAACCATTAACTTCTTCTTGAACTTCAACAGTATAGCTCAGGGGTCTTCAAATTTGACCCTTTTATGACTTGTGGACTTCAACTCCCAGAATTCCTCAGCCAGGCATCCAGGCTGAGGAATTCTGGGAGTTGAAGTCCACAAGTCATAAAAGAACCAAGTTTGAAGACCCCTGGTATAGCTATTGCTCAGATCTCCCCCAGCTGTTCGCATTTTTAAAAGTTCTGTATGCTAGTTGCATTCATACAATTAGAACTCTATATCAAAATCAGAAATCATCCCACTGAAACCAACAGGTGAGGTTCCTGAATATGCATGTAAAATATCCAGCTCCTTGGCTGCAGTTTAAGTAGACATGCTAGAGTTCCATTGTTGCTTATACTTGTTGATGTTATTATTTAAAATAAAAGAACACTAAACCAATAAACACAGCAGCAGATGTACTCCAGAAAGCATGTGTTGCCAAGATGACCCCAATCTGTAAATGGTCACCATAACAACATACTGCATTTGATTTAACAAAATTAACTCGATTTTTCCTCCTTGCAGCAGCTGCAAGCTGAGTGACTTAATAAGGTTTGGTACTTGCATTTATCAGTGAAAGAAAATGTGTTTGTCTGCTTAACATTAGAAATCTCAGCCAACAGAGGAAGAAGCTGATGTTCTTTGGGATTTACATAAAGGAACACAAGGAGGGGGGGACAGGAAACTGCATGGAAGATCTCTAATAACAGTAAGACTCAGAAAATTTCTCATCAAGTCTTATGGTGCCAACCTTCTAGAGCCACTGCAGGCATAATCAGAAAGTCATGCTTTTAGGGAACAAAGAAAGATGACTTCTCTTGAAGCAAATTCTGGATGCACCTAGCAACGGTTTCAGGTTTTAGAAAGCTAAAAGTAACAACAATCCAGTATTTAAATAAGTTTGTATAGTAGTTAAATTCTGTAAAACGCAGACTGAAAATGTGATGCCCACCATATATCAAAAGTAAGCATCAGTCTTATCAGATCTGTAGAGTCCTCACAACCAGCAGCAA